TTCATTTCTAGTACCTGCCTTAACCAGACCTCTGCCTTTCCCTTCTTTTCCCATCTTAACTCACCCTCTAAGTCTGTCACTATTATATTGTTTAACCTAATTTCTCTACCCATTTTTTCTCTCATATGCTCTAATTCTTGCTTATTGCCTACTTCTGTTCCTCTTTGCTTCTTGTTTCCTCCTTCTATGCTTTCTTTTAGTTTCACGCACTCCTCTTCCAACTAGTCCATCCTCTCTCCCCATTTTTCCTGCAGTTTTTTTTCTCTACGTTCTGCTTATTCCATTTCTTCTTTCGTCTCTTTCTTTATTCTCTCTCTCTCTCTCTCTCTCTCTCTCTCTCTCTTGTTCTTTCCTAACTTTTCCTATTTCCTTCTCCCATCTTTCTTCTCTTCTTTTCCCCTCTGCCTCCATTCTTTCCATTTTTCCCATTATTACTTTAAACATTTCTATCCATTCTTTCCTTTCCTCCTACCATACCTCTCTTAATTCCCTTATATCTGTCCGTATCTTTTCCATTATATCTTCTGCACCACTACTTTTTTCCACTTCTCTTATCGTATTGTCCAATCCTTCTCCCCCCTTCCCATCCATCTCGCTTCCCTCGCTCTCACTCTTGCATCTCTTTGCCTCTCTCATTTCTCCTCTAATATTCTCCCTCAGCCCCTCCCCGCTCTCTCTCCCCCTCACCACCTTTACTCTTTTCTTCTTTTCCTCCTCTGGGCCTTTCTTATCCAACCTTCTACCTTTATCTCTTAATTTTTCTGTTGTCACAAATCTTTCCATCCTATCCCGTACGCTTTAATTCGACTCTCTATATCTACCCGTGATCCCACCTTTATTCCCTGTGTTACCTTTTCTGTCTCTGCCTTTACTTTTTACCGCCCCTCCTCTCTGTCTGCCTTTCCCGCTTTCTGATTTTCTCTCTTAACCTCAACCTTTATTTTTTTTCTTTATTCCTCTCTCTCTCTGTTTTTTCCTGCTCTTCTCCAGGCCTCTCTCTCTTCTCCACTCATCCTCCGCCTCCACGCTCTTTTCACCTCTATTTCTCTTCTCAAACACTTTTCCTCTTTAACTTTCTCACCAAAACTCGCGCTCACATCCAAGACACGTCCACACTCCCCTCGAGTGAAATCTAACCCGACGTTTTTTTAGTTTTAAGAATAATTGAAAACTTGCGACTACTAGTAGTGTGAGGAACATTACTTTTATCAATAATTTATTATTAAATTACTAAACATTTTAGTGATGAAATTTCATACCAATATTCATTTGTTTCAATAAATCTGGGTTTTTCGCGCCTTCAAAGGCTTTTTCCCACAAATATTACTTCTTATTTTACCTGTGTTATCTATCAATATAAATAATCTGAATCATTAACATAAATAAAGCATTATGTCTTGTCTTCGAATTCCGAGACTTGAGTCGACTACTTCGACTTACATGCATTTACCACTAATATTTGAAGTTTTCCGACGGTTTTGGCTTGTAACTTTGATTTATCGCGTAGCTAGACGAAAACAAATAATACCACTAGATTCAGTGACTCGAAATACATGGAAATATATATTATTGAAAAAAAAATTGATCGTTTTTTGCCGTCATAAATTTGAAAATTCTCTTTGTTTTCGCAAATTTTTGAAATTTTTCGAGAAATATCGCTCATAACTTTTGTTTATCGCTACCTAGAGAAAATCTACCGATACCATTCGATTTGGCAGCTCAAAATATATAAAAATACTCATACATGTTAATGAAAAAGGATTATAGATTTTTTCAATCTTGTCAGCAAATGATCTGCATTTTTCTCTGATTTTCCAAGTTTTTAAACGATGTAGGCTTATAACTCTGGTTTATCGCTCAGCTGGTCAAAAACTAATGACACCATTCGATTCAGTGACTGAATGTACATGAAAAAATATACTGCTGATAACGAAATTTATCGATTTCAGCCAATAAAGGTCAGCTAAAACTCCTTTTTTTTACTCATTTTTCAGATTTTTCGAATATTTTTGACTATAACTTTTTTCGATCGCTATCTAGACAAAAAATGACACGGTCATTCAATTTAGCGACTCAAAATACACAAGAAAACATTGTTTTAAAAATGAAAATCCGAAATTGAGACTAGCCTTTATAAGGATGAACAAACTTACTCATTTTTCCCATTTAATATACATGAGAAATCTTAAGGGGCTTTGAGGCAGGCGTTAAATCAATTTTTAGGTTCTAAAACTTTTTTCCGCAGAGTTTTTAGAGGTAATAGAAAAGATATTTGCTTGGGAGCGGGTCCCCGAAGAAAAAAATTAATTTCCACCCTAATGTTCATGATGCGCACTGTAACAATTTATTGCCAAGCATTCGATCTAAAAAATGGACCTGAGTAGTTTTTATAAGACTAATCCAGACTGCTATTACAAATTCTGTCGTAATATTCAATGCTGCTGGAAATAATCAACAAAAATTTGGAATCAAAGAATTTGCAATGTCAATAGCACAAAGCTAAATTTGCGACACTAGTCAAAAACAATAAAAACATTCAACGAGACTAGAAAAACAAAAAAACATGTTCTAATTGTCCAATAAGAACATATATTTTCTGCGATGTTTGCGAATTGTTTTTTTGCAGTCTACGTATAAACTTTTGATTTTGTTTCTATTGTGTTATTTGAAAACCTGGCAGAGAAAATGATACTAATAACAATCAAAAATTTTCGATTCCATTGTTCGCGATTTTCCTAGATTCGTCATTGTATTATTTACATTAGATAAATACGATATGCGTATTTATGTAGACTATACGTACTTTAGAATTACTTAAGAAGGTGTGAATTTGTACCGGTATGAAATATAAACAAGACGTGTTGATGCCCGAAGAATTACTTGTATGGAATATTCGAATAGACCAGAAAACATAGATATGCGTAAATTAATGTTATATTCATATTTAGCACTTGTATTTGTGTACTGTTATAATAGTTTTATAATATCAATATAAGTGTAGTTCAAACAAAATTGTTTTTCCATTAAAAAAAATTTTTTTTAATTTTTTTGTAATTTTTGGTGTAAAAAATCGGCACTATCTACGATCTTCTGTTTGCATTTTTTCTCTCTAAAAACGTTCTAAAGTTATTCTATAGAACAATTTCTGAAGTGACATAATATTTCGTTTTTTGAGCGTTCAGGCTACCCGTGCCCGATTATTGGAAATTAGTACTTTAGATGATAAGATAATTTATATGACGGAGGTCTCTACATCAGTAGTACATAGCTTTCCGTCTCACAGGTAACGAAGACTGCGTAAAAACTGGAGGGGAATTTCTGTAATATGACATTTCTCAAATCTGACAGTTCTCAAGCGAACATAATCATCAGCCTATATAAAAGGGCATTTTACGGCTATGCTTCTCAGAGTTACTAGACGTTGTCTGCCTACCAAAGACTAACAGCATGTTGATCTCAGAAAACCTATAAAAAAGGAGCTGTAAAACGTACATGCCTCCTGTTTTATTGCATTTATATATTTAATTAAATTTTCTCTAATTTTTTATAATTTGCTTAATGTAAAAAAAATTCACCTCTTCTCATAGAACTCCAAAAATTTAAGAAAAGGAATTATTAACGATATGTTTAGATTTCTTTTTCCATATCTACTTTCACCTTTTATATTAATTAACTACGTTTTCCGATAAATAATGGCTATATTAATAATTCATTTGTCATTGTTCTAGCTAACTTTTCTGCACATTTCTTGATAACCGCAATTTTCTTATTGCGACTTTTCTTTTAAGATAAATTAAATTTTATTTTGCGTTAGCTAATGAGAAAATCAGAAACAAAAGTTGATCGTTACATTCATGGTGATCGACTTTATTTTTCGCCTAAATTACAATAATTTTCGATAATTGATTAATGTTCAAAAGCAAGAAAACTGGTTTTTATGGGAACTAAATGTAATTCTTGCGTTTATGTATAAGCAAACTCTAGTTATCATACGTGCATAAATAATGAATCATGTAACAATGAGATTTTATATCTTACTTGATCGGTATTGAGCGGTCTCTCGCCTATAGATGGACATCTTGCGAATCAAATTTCTGCCTAAGATCGCTTATGAGCGCCCCTTAATCCTCTTCGAGAGGTTTTAAAAGGAAGGAGAGCCTAACGTGAGAGTCAGAAGAAAAGGAGTCAGTCTATTGGTAACAAGTGTGTGGTGTGTGACGAAGAAAGTACAGGAAGATTCTCCAGTAAGGGTCGTGAAGAGATCTACCGGCTACTTCAAGCATGCACACGTGTACACCAATAACTAGCAATTGTCAACTACGACAGCGACCTTGAACCTGCGAGTCTACCGCAGATTTTGAGATAAAATTGAAATGAACTTAACTATCTCACTATAATATTTGGAGGACTACTCTACAAACGGCGGATTATTGTATGATGATATCCAAAAACAAGTATGGCGTACTTTTTCTAATAAGAACAATCGCTAATTAGAAAGAGTTTAGTAAAATCGCTCTGGCCTTTGACGAAAATAATAATTCCGATTGCCGTTTAAATTAGAATCATTAATTGTATCGTAGTATTGAAAATTTGTAAGCGTGATCACTTAAACTTTAAACCTATTTAATAAAATTAACAATTGTTATTAATTATCAATTTAATTTGTTATTGTCACGATCTTGTTCCTGAGCTCTTTATTGTTTGCCTTTTCATATAAGCTCTACCGACATTTAAATGAGATGTTTAGGCTGGCCATTTAATATAAGTCCAGTATAATATTTACCTCATGTCATTATAATATAAAAGAAAATTATACATTGGCGCCCAACTAATGAAAGATTCACTCCTTATTTATGTATGGCAAATAACGAATCTTTTGTCACAAGATCTGGCAGACTGTCAAAAAAGATCATTCCTAATTGTTTGCAAAACCATATTGTACGAGAAAATCAGCACCCATTATAAATGTGCTTCCTGATGATCAACGCACGCCACAACAGAGACAAAAGGAGGAAGCGCAGAGACAGCATCGCGAAGGCAAGCAATTACAGCGTCGCGTCGCCGATGAAGCAAACAGAGCAAACGAACTTCAGGCAAGAATACAGCAACTTGAATTTGAATTCCAGGAGGCTAGAGCAAATCGCAATCATCATGAGCCTCAAGTTCAACAGAATCAACAACATACGAATTTTGCTGCAGATCTTCTTGCGGTTATGGGTGATTTAAATGTTAACCAAATTAATATTAAGGTGCCAGAATTTCACGATGAGGATACGCAAAATCCTTTAGAATTTTTAAATGAACTGTAGCGTTATTTTCGTTTTAAACAAATTAATGAAAGTCGGAAAATTAGTATTATCAGTATAATTTTAAAAAACATGCTCAAAATTGGTTTGAATTACAGCCTGACTTTCGCGATTACGAGTCGTTTAAAATTGCCTTTTTAGAAAAATTTTTCACAATACCAATTCAGGTAAAAATAAAGAATAAATGGTTAACCAGACGTTTTAGTAAGGAAAAGGATGGAAACTTGCAATCTTATTATTTCTCACAAATGAAACAAGCTGGCTTTATTGAGCCGGGAATGTCGAATTTTTAAAAGAATCATAATATAATTTTACAATTGCCTTTCGGGGTGAGACAAGCGTTGGCTGTAACGGATTGTAACGATTCAAATACCCTGACTTCTACTTTGTCAATCTCGATGCGTTATACATAGAAAAACAAAAACAATACCAGCATTTAAATCAAAATAAAGAGAGACAAAACCAGCAAGATGTTTCGGACCATCACATCAATATGAATAATAACAAACGACGAGGTCGCGTGAATAATCGAGCTCTGTATAATACATATCAAAACAGACAATCTTATAATCAAATTCAAAACAATTTATCGAATAGCCATCAGAAATTCAATCTGCCTGATACTTCGTGTCCACCGCCAAATATACAAAACTATAATTCTAACAATATATTAAATTCAACAAATACTCAACAAAATAATTTAAACTAGGAGCAGACGTATTGAACATTGACCCAGCAATGCGTCATTATGAGGATTTACAAAACGATCTAACACATGGAATACTAAATAATAAGGGTCATAATAAAAATAATAATTTAGTACAAAAAATACCTTCATCTCCATATATTTTAATTAATATTTTAGATTATAGTATTTGGTCATTACTAGATAGCGGTAGTCAAATCAGCGCTATCTCGGATGTTTTTTATAATAAATTAAAAAATAAAATGCACGTGCTGGAGATACCGGTTTCGAATATAGTTGTGTCAACAGCTATCGGTAAGCGCGCAACTACTATTAAGAAACAAGTATTATTGAATTTAAAAATAGATTATATTAACATAAACCATACATTTTTAGTAGTTCCTTTTTTAACAACCGAAATAATTTTGGGAAATGATTTTTGTTTGGAGAATGGATTGGTCATTGATTATTGGAACACGGAGCTTAGGATTGGGGGAAACAGAATCCTGACTCGTTCAGTGTTATTCGATCAAAGAAATTCAGAGAGAATAATTTTATCTAATAAAGATGAAGTAACTTGTATAATAATAATGTGTAATGAGAATTTAAACTTTGATGCTAATCTAAAAAATAAGAAGAATCAAACTGAATATAATTATAATAATCTCTCACGAAATGTAAAAAAGAATAGAAAAAGTGATGAGAAAAGTCTAAATGCCTCGCAGAAAAAAAAGAAACAATGCGATGAAATTGAAATTGTCGAAAACACAAATACGAACCTAGATAAGTATAAAAAAGATAACGACAATTGTCATTCAAATATTGGTGTTGATAATATAATTGAACTTTTATCTAATGAAATTATTAAAGAAAATGAATATAAAGAGAACCTTCAGAGTGAAAATCTTAATGTATGGGTCATTTCACGGGAACATGGCACACTTTCAGGTCCGACCATCCCCGATCTTTTTCCAAATTTTTCCTCTGAAAGGAGGCACCAACGATAGATGATTTCAGTCCTGAAACATCATTTTCACCCACTCACTGATCTGAGCCATGCTGATGAAGATTTCCTTTCTTTCATTCCCATTTTTTTTTTTTTTCAAACTCATACCTCGGCTTTGAATTCCTTTGAAAAAAAAAATCGAAATATCATTTTCGACGTGAAATTTCCCGTAGATTTCGAAAAAAATATCAGGTTTCCCGTCGAAAATGATTAAAGTCTTCAAAAATCAGAAAAAAGTTTTCAAATTGATTTTTCACCGTTTTCCCCCAAACTTTTACTTAAATTTTATTTTTTTTTTGAAAAAAGCAGATAGTTCTACATGAAAAATACTCTTAAAAAGAATGCGGTCAACATTTGTTCATACGTTATAAATAAATTGATGAAAATTAATGCATTAGTAAAATTCAAATTTGACGCCAAATTCATAAGGCGCTCTCTCTCTCCATGTGTTTTCATATAACGTAAACAAGTACCGATCATTTGATGAGAGTTCGTTGCTTCTGAATCTACAAAACCAGCATTACTTAATCGAAATAACATCAATTCAATTCTTTCTCTTGGAAATCAATTTTAACGGTATAAATTGTTGATGTCAAGTATTGTTGAGAATTCCGAAGAAAACTGTCTTTAGCAAGAAGGAAAGAATGTTTCAATCCATTCAATTTACCCAAGTCTCGTATGTATTTAGTTGTATTTTTAAAAATAATAATTTATAAACAGTATGAATATCTAACAATTTTATACCATACAATTGGTCGTAGATTCAACAAACATCAGTGATTTGAGAAAATTTTCCGAATCAGATCTATTTAAATTTCCGTCTGCAACGGCAGATTCTTGGTTATGTTCAACGTGCAGAAAGAAAGCGAGAGAACATGTTGTTGAATCTGCTAGTAGTGAAGAACTATCTGAATCTCTAGCTTCTACTCAAATTTCAAGTTCTTCTGATGGTGATGTAACTATTGATAAGCTTTTGAAAATAAGTCCTGTCAAAAGGAAATGGTATGAATTGAATTTCAATAATAGTGTACAGTGAGTGATATATATATTTTTTTAATAATGTAGGTGTGATAACGAAAATTATATGTCAGGTAAATTAGATGAAGTGCATGAAGTTGCCACCAAAAAATTCAAATCAGATTTTGAATGCTCTATGTTATTATCAACTGAAAAAATTACTCTTGATTAGAATAAAATTTTGACAAATATTGAAGAAAGCTTCAGACGTGAAACTGATAAGTATGGAAATCATTTTTTATCGTATCTTATTGGTTTTTCCTACAATTTTGTTTTTTCAAATAATAGATCCAAAAAAATTGAAATGCTGATGATGTTGTTATGTCGCGACTCCGTAGCCGTGACATGTATTTGTTTAATATGAGTAAAATTTATTTTATCACGGTATGATTATGATATAATATGTATAATGGCAGGACTTACCTGGGTTATATATATATTGTTGAAGATGTTGATAAATTATTATCTTACTCCTTGTTCCTTCATATTATTTTCTTCTTAAATTGGTTTCTTTATTATTGAGAATATTTCGTATGGAAATTATAGAAATGAACTTGATACACTTTATTTAATAATATTTAATAACACTTTATTTAATAATTGGATTTCACTCAATGAGTGGCAGAGTCAACTGGTACAGTAGAATTGTCGCGAGTCGCGAATCAACTGGCTAAAAAATTGAGACGCTGTTTTATATATTGGCTAACTGACTTACATTTAGTTGTCGAGTAATCAAGTTGATGTTTCAATTTCTCAATTGAGTTTTCTGCTGAATTTCATTTATTAATTTTTGCGTTTCGTAAAATAAAAAAAAGTAGGTGAAATACATTTTGTGCTTATTTTGCTACTTTCAATTCGCATGATTGCCGTTGATCTCAAAATGATTTAATTTTACGTCTCAGGACGTAACACGTCCGTGGCTAGATAGTTGCATATCGATGCGATATCAACGTAAAAGAAAGAAATAGTTAAGTTTATATCAATTTGAGGTCTTCGTCAATTTTACTTGGTTATAAATTTTATCTTAAAACTAATAGTAATTATATTCTGAAAATGATAATATTTTGTATAACGGTGCAGTAGAGTTCCATTTTAGGGTCTTTATTTATATAAATTTGTGATTATTATTAATGCAAGTCTAACGTGAAGATTGGAGTATCATATTTGTTTGTTTTGGAAATTTTGTTTGGAATTAGTGCTGCAGGTATGATTTTTGGTGGTTCTTTGTGTATGGTTTGGAGATATAGAGGTGGTGATTTTTGTATGGTGGTTTCTGGGTGGTCAATCACTATTTGCTGCAATTCATATTCATTATTTTTCGTTGTGTCTTTGTATTCTTGTTTGGCGAGTGGTTTGTTTAACGCTATCAGTAAGTGTGTGATAGAGCTGAACACTGCTGCTAGCAAATATGTTGAGAATCCATATATTGAATGCAACGTATATCCTCTGATTATCACGTTAAACACGCTTTTGACGCATTGAAATATGATAATACTCATTATAATGGCGGAACTTATAGAGCCGAATTTAGTGAGTTTATTGATGGTTTTGGTCCAGAGGTTTTCTGCTAGATCGGTTAGAGTTTTTCAGTGAATATCAAGTTTGATATTAGTCCTCCTTGCATACTTTCGTCGCCTTGCATACCTCTTGCAATTACGTTGAGGAGTGCTGTTTTCTCCATAGGAAAGAGTATATGGTCCTGTAACTGTTGCAGATCTTCTTGAGAATAAATGCCACTGGTTGCTAATGACTCTAGTTCGGTCGGTTGCCATGTTATTGTAGTATTTGGTTTCAATGTCAAAACTGCGTTAGTTGCATTTCTTGGTGTTGGTGTAAGATTTATCCATTGATTTCCAATTTTGTAGTATTGGTGGATGATTGCATTGCAGTTTATTTCTGTTCCTGTTTTCAGTAAGATGTGTGTCTTTGGTGTGAGGTAGTATGTTTCGTTTTTTGATTTTACTGGAAGTTGTACGAAACATCTGTCTGTGTGAAGTAGTTGGACTTCAGTTGGCGTACATTGTATGATATGTACGGCTTCCCCTGCCAGCCGAGCTATGTACCCAGGCTTCTCCATGAGGCTATATCCAAATTCGTCAGGTGCAATGGATGCAATGGATAGGGAATTGTATAGGAATTTTTTGTCCAGTTCACATTTTTGTTTTAAAATATTTAAGTAAAGGTTTTTTGTTTCTAACCTAAAATGTTTCTCTACATACACGAATTTACTATTAAAATACGTGAATAAATCATAATTAAGTATCCCTTGCTTTGTCCGAATGTCATTGTCATATA